TATAAGATGACCCCGACTTCGGCGCCAATTTTAACGCTTGCGAAAGTCATCTTATACGCCAGAAAGTACGGTATTTGTTTTCGCCAGAATGCTGCCCAAAATTTGTATACTATATAGAGTGATAGAACGATTTGAAAAAAGCAGATTTTGCTTCTGAAAAAAATTGATTTGCTATCAACATTTCTGGGAAGAAATTACTCTTGTTTTGGACTTGGTTAATTCAATACCGAAATTGGATGGAATATAGAGAGCTTGGAGAACAGAATGTATCAAATCTGGTGCAAGAACTGAATTCATTAGGGAACCAGACAAGAGGAAAACAAAAAGGTACAGATAGTCCTCAATTTACAACCACAATTTCTGCTAAGTGAGACGTTTGTTAAGGAGCTTTGCTCTATTCTACGACAGTTGTTAAGTGAATCACTGCAGTAAGATAAGTTAGTAACCTGGTTGTTAAGTGAATCGGCTTCCCCACTAGCTTTGCTTGTTAAAAGATTGCAAAAGATTCACATGAACCTGGGACACAGCAGCGATCATAAGTATGAAACCAATTGCCAAGTATCTGAATTCTGATCACAAGATCATGGGGATGCTGCAAAGATTGTAACTGAAAAACAGTCATAAGTTGCTTTTTTCAATGCCCTTGTAACTTTGAGCAGTCACTAAATAAACTGTTATAAGTCGAGGACTATCTGCAATTGGATTCTGCATCACTCTTAGGTTTTTCTAAAACAAATGGGACAGGCGCTTTTACTGCACCTTTGCAGAGGGAGACCTCCAAGATAGATGTGGGTCCTTACAGGGTCAAGCGTGTTGGACTTTAGGTAGCTTCTGCTGCTCCCTCTTCTCATACATATATCAAGCAGGTGTGTTAGTGGTGGATAGTTATTGCAAAAGGGCAGCACAGTAGGATTTTAAAGCTACAGCTTGGAATAGGGCTGTTTTGGCAACTTACCTTATCATCTTTGGCAGACTGAGATCACACACACTCGGTCAATCCCCCTTTGCTTTGAGCTTGCAAATGGATGCAGAGTTCAAAAGGCAGAGGTGTGATTGATGTGTGTGGATAATTTGCTGCTCTCTGCCCCCCCTCCGTGCCTGTTGCTTTTTCCCCTCCCCTTCTTATGAAGGAGTGGCCGAGTATGGAGAATGCAGATGGAACCAAGGTGGTTTTGAGAAGTAAGATGAAAGAACCCTGACTATTAAGGATGGGGCAAGCAGATGCTGAAATGTGTGAGCCTGCCGAGATTAGAGCTGAATACCGAGTAACTGTAGATGGGCATTGGGAAAGGTGGGCGGCCGCCCCATTTGCTTCAAGGGGGGGGGCTTACCTCTGAAAATCATATTGGGGGGGGGGGGCTTCCTGATATTGCTTGGTTGCAAAAAATGGAGAAGGTGGCTGTGTTGAATAACCATGAGGCTTAGCTCTTTGGATAAAGTGCAGCAGGAACAGCCATGGGTTCAGACTGTTGAAAGTAAGGAGACGTCAAGCTATTAGGAGAGATAACTGTTGGCAGAAGATCATTTCCTCCTATCTTCTGCCAACTGTTATTTCTCTTAATAGCCTGACATTCCCTTCTTTCCATGTTTTTCAAGAGATTGGAGTGTGTTGAGCTAGGGAAGAAGGATGGCTCTGAGTATCAAACAAGCACAGGGTGGGCTGAAGATGTAAGAACCTGGGAGGATTAGACTCATGGAGGGAAGATTTCATCATAGTGCCTCCTTTTGGGGCATATTATCTCACAAACTGCAGAAGACTCCATGGGCTTTGTAAATGCTCAATGTTTTTTTTTGAATTGAATACCAACATCAGAAATCAAGTAGACAAAGGAAATGGGCACAGCACGCTCTTCCATTAAAAAAACAAAACAAAACGATACCAGGATGAAAGGATGCTTTCCCCCGTCAGTTGCACAATACTGGTAAGAACAATTAGGACCAGCAACTTGGTTGTTAAGCAAAGTGGTCATTAAGTGTAAAAATGACTGTGCTTATGATCTTACTTCAGCTTTCCTTTGCTTTACAGACCAGCAAAGGACAGAAAGGGGATGATGGATCACAAAGTCATTTTGTCATCACTACCGTGACTTTGAATCACCGCTGTCAGAGACAGATGCTAAATGAGGACTGCCTCTAGTCTGAAGAAGTTACCTTCTTTCTATATTTGAAAATCTATTCCATGGTTTGAAGTCTATTTAGGCAATTGCTCTGCTCATCTGCTTAATTTTTCCACTTCTAATATTAGGCAAACTGATTTATATACATGCAAATTGCAATTTGGTAGCATGACATGAAAAAAAATATGTAAAGCTTTGGAGTGATGAATACCTTTGTAAAGGTATTCCCTGCCCCTTTTTACATATTAAAAAAATAAAAGGAGTATATAAGGGGGACATGGATTAAACTTAATATTTTGCTTAACAAATCAAAATGCTAAATGTTGCTCCTGGTTCTCACATCACAGAAAAAGTGTAATAAATAAAAATAGAATAATGTAAATGGAAGAAAATAAGCCAGATTCTCTTCCAATCAAGGTTTAATTGCAATATAATTCCAAAAGTCACAAATTTTTGCAAGGTCCACCTCCTGCCCCACTGTCACCCCTTGAACATGCTACCTATTGACTTTGACCTGTCTAAAAAGGGACTGAAATCATTTGATAGACCCCCCCCTCCACCCAGACAGCCATCTTTATGGCGCATTTAAAAAATGAGATTCAAGTCAGACACTACTTGAATGACAGCTGCCCGGCATATTATTGACGTATTATTGGGGGCAGGTTGCAGTCAAAACTATATTGGCTAGAGCAGTGGTGGCGAACCTATGGCACTGGTGCCAGACGTGGCACTCAGAGCCCCCTCTGTGGGCCCATGTGTAGTTGTCCCAACCTTGCCTCCCTCTGCAACCTCCTCCTCACCAGCAGCCCCCTGGAAGAGAGTCGCCACCAAGCATGGCCCACGCGGAGCAGCGCAGCCAAGGACATGGCAGCCAGGTAGCGTAGACAAGACTCTGCCCTCATGGCCCATCGCACACAGTTGATGCTGTGGGGCGTGAGCAGAGGGCGTGGCTGCCATGGCACTGCTGGGATGCCTGGTCAATCTGTGGCGGGCCCTGGAGGCAGTGAGTTCACCTTCGGGCAGGTGGGGTGGGGGCAGGGGCAGTTTTTGAACACTCGGTCTCTAAAAGGTTCGCCATCACTGGGCTAGAGGCATTAAAAATCAAAGATCACCATGCTTGGAGGTTGTGTGTTCGGTTACATATCTACATACATACACGTTTGTTCTACACAATGCATCAAGTGCAGAAGGTAACCTCCATTGTCAAGATTCACCTTTCCTGACCTAATGTTTGACTGACAAGTCAAAATCCTACTGCTGCAACTTATCTCCAGCGTGAAAATGTAGAAATAGCTAAAGCCTTCAGCAGAATTACAGCCTATCACAGGTGGTGCTATTTTTTGATGCCTACGTGTGAAGTAAGAAAGACCTTCAACAGGACTTTTGCTTGGTCTCTAGTCGTATTATTACATCTTCTTATTCTTCCAAAGGCGCCAAAGCTGAAATGGAAGGGCTTGCCTTTACAGAGTCCATAAAGTAGAATCAGGAAAGGCCTTTGGGGAGATGACTGGCCTCTCCCCCAGTTACTTGACTGCCTGCAAACCCACTGCCAACCTTGAGGCGCTTTGAAGCCTTGAAATGCAGCTGCAGAAAGCTCCCCATTGGCTAGGGCCGACGTACCCTGCCCACTCTTCCCTCTCCTTCCTGTCTTGTATTCCTGCTGCATAGCCTCTGGGCTGACATTATAGGCAGGGTGGGGATTTATCAGACAGTGCACAATACCAATCAGGTGATTCATCACCATCTAAGCCCAGGAAGGGCAAAGCAGGCAGCTGGGACTGCTTAGAACAGTTACTTACTTCTCACACCATGTTCACCATTCATCTATCAATCCCATATCCCACTCACCCGTTCTATGAAAACACTTTTAAGGCAGTAGAGAGGAGCACTCTCTTTCAAACACTTGAGAGTCCAATATTTTATTGCTCAGCAGTAGAGACAAACACTCTCTTTTCAAATGCTTAAGAATGAATGGCATTATTGCAAACCTGTGCTACTGTTTTACTTATCCATGGAAGGGAGGTTTCTTCCAACATAAGTGGCCATTTTGTTGTCCCCACTTCTCACCTCATGCTTATCTTAAAAGGAGACTCCTCTCAGTGCCATCCTAGCCCCTATCCTCCTTCTGGAGTGCAATAAATTCCTGGGCAGAATTAGAGATATCCTGATAGCCTCAATACAACAAATATGTTAAAACTTCCTGGGTTGCAGTAATAATCTTCGGAATGTGCAACAAAAAGAAGAGGCTTCCAACATTCTAGGATATGTTTTCAAGGTCCAGAGCAATCCTGCATATATAGGCACAGTGCCAGGGGCATTATTATAGAAAATACATAGAGAAAAAGGAGATACTTTGAACCATGTGATTGCCATTATTTGTTTCTTAGTTTGCATGGACTTTACAGATGACAATCCTCGCCATGTGTGCCTGTAAGTTAGAATAACACCATGAATCTGGCATTGTGACCTGTTATCCACAACATTAGCGGCATTTTAAAGTCTTACAGTACTTTTTTTTCCTGCAGCAGATTAACATGTCTACTCCCCTGAAAAACAATTTGCAAACATTGTGACTAACTCCGCACGCCAATCGGTTCACAAGTCTCTGCATGTGGAAATCCTAAATGTAACATCCCAGCTGGGAAAGGCTCATTTGAATTCGCGTAAAACATTTGTGGTTCTTCCAATGGAGTTCAACCCAGGAGCTTAAAAACGAAATATTACAGTCATAGCTTTCTTCCAAGACAGAATCTTTCTGTCCAGTCGATTCTGCAATGACAACATCCCAAAGATGCACAAAGGAGAAATGATGCCATAACATCTGAAGGAAACCCCTCACACATCGCCACCTAATTCTACTTCAGACATACACATGCACATTAGTGTCCTGGATTCATGTTTATTCGCACAATAATAAAATAAGTTACCAACCACAGTATTTGCACTCAGTGCCTGTGGCTCTTGATCCAGAGATAGCTCTCTACCCCCAACTCGTCAATCTCATTTTTGAAACATTTCTTTAAAACCAACGTTGCATTTTATTTCATTGTTCTCCCCCGAACAACAAAGGTGCTCATGGCACTTTAACCAGAATGGAACAAATTTGGCCTAGGTTAACAGGTATTTTATTGTATTCCTTACCCCCTGAATGTTCTCAGTGTTGGATTTAAAGGGCATTAATTTGAATGGCGATATGGTGGGAATGACAGCTATTTTATGAGGGACTACAGCTCATAGACTTGACAAGTGTGGCTGAAGGTGTCAATGCTTAGAAACAGCCAGAGACAACCTCTGGGTCTCCAGCAAGATTACTAATATGCAGCTCTTGGTGTTTTGGAAATATCAGGCCAAGGCTCAAATCTGTACAATAGGATCTCCTGGAATCAAGAGCTCATGTAACCGGCCATAAAGGAAGTGATGGGAGATATGAAACGTTAGCATGTACCAAGTCCCTCAAACCCTGCTTTATGTTAATGCAGGGCTCCATCCTTAGTGCTGCAAAGGCAAACAATGGAATTTTCTGCAGGCTTACAGAGACATAGATATCATTTGCAGACACTGACCCACTCTGTGAGTCGACACTCCTCACAAGCTACAAAACAGCACCAGTGGAATTTGCAGTTGCATCGCTCACTGCGGGTTTGCCGCAGAATATTATGTCCTCGTCCACAGCACAAGCTTTCACAGTTGTCCATGCCTGGGCTGGTCTTGTTGCACAAACGCCCCTGTGTGCCCATAGAATCCAAGTTTGGTTCCCTCTCACAGAAGTCAGGTGATTTCTCAAAGTAGATCAGGTCACTGATGCCACCACGACGCCGGTGGCGGGCTTGGCCCACCTCCATCTGTCCAGTGTTCCTGTTGTGGGGCCGGATCAGTGTTGCCACATGGAAGCGTTCCTTGAGCACTGAACCCACCAGCCGGAAATCAGGAGTCACCTGCCAACATGTCTTCAGCTGGCAACTTCCTGAAGTTCCATGACACTTGCATTTTCGCTTCATGTTCTCCATCACCACCTGTCAGAAGCACAAGCACACACAGCAGTCAGAAGACCTCATGTAGAAGGATTGAGCTCCATCTAGTTCAATTTTCTGTCTAGCTGGCTTTGGAATTTGATTGCTATCCCTTGGAGACAACTTGTGCTCCTGGCACAAGAACATCAGTTTGGTGTAGTGGTTAAGGTACCAGGTTAGAAACTGGGAGACTGTGAGTTCTAATTCCACCTTGGGCAGAAAGCTAACTGGGTCACCTTGGGCCAATCACTCTCTCTTAGCCCTAGAAAGCAGTTGATGGTAAACCACTTCTGAAATATTGCCAAGAAAACTACAGAGACTTGCCCAGGTGTCACCAGGAGTCAAGACTGACTTGAAAGCACAAACAAGCAGTCACAACTCCTTTGTGTACAGGCTATGCAACCCATTCAAGCAGTTACATAAGAGATTGGTTGTATTGATTGTGTTCACACGATCAATTTAATCATCTATCCATATGTGCATAATATCTTGCACCAAAAGCTAACCATGATGGCTGTAGGTTCACAGAGCATACTAACTAGACTAAAAGGTGTAGATGGAGTGTAAACGAGAGTCTTCCAGGTAGCCATGTGGCACAGTGAGAGGTGAAGAGAGTTTATGCAATGTTCCCAACTACATGTAACAACATGTGTTGAGAGATTCCAAGACTTCAGATCGTTTAGGGTTATCATTTACAGACTTGCAGGATGAAATGAAGTTATTATTTCAACAAGAATGTGTCATCACCTTATATTTAGAACAAAACTCAAAGAATGGGATTTTAAATGGCTTTAAATAAGCTAAAGACAACACTCTTCTCCTCCATCTCCTTATCACAGAGTCTGGCCACAAAGCATTCCATGAAGGCTTGCTTCTGCAACTGCACAGGTTGGCTTGTAGAAGTCCAGAGGTGAGCCAGTTTAACAGAAATAAAATCCACTGTCTGAATAACTGTGTCTTATATCCCCCCCCTTCCCATCTCATCTAGAAAAGTACAGGTAGTCCTCAACTTACAACAGTTCATTTAGGGACCATTTGAAGTTACAACGGCACTGAAAAAAGTGACTTATGACCATTTTTCACACTTATGACCGTTGCAGCATCCCCATGGTCATGTGATCAAAATTCAGACGCTTGGCAACTGACTCATATTTAGACAGTTGCAGTGTCCTGGGGTGATGTGACCACCTTTTGCAACATTCTGACAAGCAGTCAATGGAGAAGCCAGATTCACTTAATGATGTCATGGTTTACTTAACTACCACACTGATTCACTTAACAGCTGTGGTAAGAAAGGCTGTGAAATGGGGCAAAATTCACTTAACCAATGTCTCGCTTAGCAACTGAAATTTCGGGCTCAATTGTGGTCATAAGTTGAGGACTACCTCTATTACCTTTGGTTCATGAGATGAAGTGGCAACTCCTTTGGCTAGGGCTACAGCAGAGACAAATTTGGAATATTGTTTTGTGTTCTGATTCTACAAGACTTGCTCTTTTTCAGATCCTGACTTTTCCCTATGTTTTGAATTTTCACTTTAAGGATACTCTTCTGGGAACATCCGGGAAGCTTCAAATTCTTACTGTTCTCCTAGAATTATTTTTCCAACATCACTGAGGGATATTGTGTGTCTTTTTTCAAGGCACATCTACCCCAGTCTCATTAAAAGTCTCTTCAGTACCGTTTTCCTCTTTTTTCTTAAGAGATACATATAGCTTCGCTAAGGCATTAAAACAAGCCAGCATAACGTAATGGTTAAGGTGTTGGCCTGGAACCAGGAAGCAGATTCCAATCTACTCTCAGTCACAGAACTCCTCAGGTGATTTAGGGCGCTGCCTCTCAGCCCAATCTATCTGACAGAGTTATAAAGAGAGGTTAGTTATAAAGAGAGGTTAGTTAGGCTGAAAATATGAGATATAATTCTAATGGCTACACAATGAGTTTGGAAATGATGGATGCTACAGTCTCTAGCACAGTGGTTCTCAACCTGTGGGTCGGGACCCCATTTGGGGTCGAACGACCATTTCACGGGGGTCGCCAAACAACGCAGTCCGCCATTTTTCCCCCCTTATCCTTAGCTGTGCTACTCCCTTTTATTCTATTGGCTTTTGAAAGCCAATAGAATAGACTATCTTGAATAGAGTCTAATTCTATTGGCTTTCAAAAGCCAATAGGAATTGTCCAGGCTGTCTCTGCCCTGCTGAGCCCACCAAAAGTCCCATTCTGCAAACGGTGCTGCACCAGTTGAGTAGTCCTCGACTTACGACCGGTTGAGTAGTCCTCGACTTACGACTGGTTGGGAGTTGCGGCATTAAGAAGGTTGAGAACCATTGTTCTAGCACATCCAAAGGAGACCAGGTTGTGGGGACTGCTTTGAGATCTAGCAGAACCAAGCTGTGACCCACCTGCTTGTTTCCTGTGCAGTGTGTTCAAATGCATTCCCTGATCTAGAAATTATTTTCTAATAGTAGGTTTCCTTAGGTTGGGGGAAGGGGAGGCAGAGAGATCACCAGATTCAGAATATTAGTGTTGGTGGGCCGGTTATACCTGGAAAAGACTAAAATAGGTACTTGGACTCTGGGCTGCTCCTAATTCATGGAGGACATGCCTGCTTCCTCTTGTAGGCCAATCTAATGGAGGCAGGATGTTTTCAGCTTGGTTCTGCCAACTTATGTGTTCCCCCCAAAAATCTGTTAAATTAGGAAAAGAACTGCACTCTGGTCTGAGTGCAGCTGTGCCAGGGCCAAGCCAGTTTCTTAAAGCTAGAGGGAGCAGGACCTTTCTTCCCCTGCCCATTTACAGTGCCTGCCTGGTGACTAAAACAGTATGCTGTCCTATGTTTCAACCGAGAGAAACAGCTTCCTCCCATCTTCATAAAAGCTAGGAAAAGGACTGGGTCTAAATTCCCAGCAGCAGCCCAGAGATGACCTTATGGGAGGACACATCTGTAGTCTTGGACCAACAGGGAGCGCAGTGCAATTTTCCTTGAGAAGTCAACCATCTCTCAACCGAGCATCGCTGCTGGACTACATAAACATAATAAGTATTGTAAATTACTACTTATGCAAGATACTTGCCATAGGTCTGTACTTATGGCAGCCTTTTCTGCTCTGTTCACAAGAGAAGAATTGTTAACATCAGTGTATGGGAAAAGAGGTTTAAGGAATTCTGGATTCTACTACAGAATCATAGAAAAGATGTAATTAGAATATTGGTAGGACTTCCTGAACTTTAGGTATCAGGTTAGAACAAGTAGGAACCACCCAGCTGAACTCAACCCATCAGCCAGATACTAATTTATCAACTAGTTGTTTGATAATATGTTCTTGCAAACTCGGATGGCCAGAAAATAAAGCTGATCAAGCAGATCATAATACTTTTGTGCTACATTCTGTCGTTACAAGTTCTGCAAACTTGTTCTGCTTATCTATAATAGGTTCTTTGTGAATGAGGGTTTGCTGTTATACTGTTAGAAGCATATTTTGAGAAAAAAAGTCATGTGCTCCTAGGATGGAATTTTCAATGCAGCAGAATTAATTAACTTGATTTTGATCACCCTGTTTAACAAAATCCATATTCTTTGTCTCTGAGACCAGATTCCACCGAAGGGACTTCTCATTACTTTCCCAGGCTAGATACCGGTAGTAGCATTTAATAGAACTTGTCTGCCATAGTTAGTACTAACTTGGCAGGACCCTGTTTAAGCTTTCTATGGCAGACAAGTGGGAGCCCACCCAATGCGGAAGGCTAGAGCAAGAAGATAGCCAGAAAAACTACAGTTTACTTGTACAAATATAGAAGCAGCATGCAGTGCACAACTTTTCAGATTGGGGAAAGGAATAGCACATTTCAACACCTTCTTATCACAAAGCAAAACCATAACACTCCCTTCCTCTACTACACTAAGTTCAGCAGCAGCAGCAGCAAGTCTACAGTGAATAGTGTCCTCTACTTAGAAGTATGCATATCACACAGCCAAGCTTGTCCTCAGCTGACTGAAATGTGACAGAGGGTATTGCACCAATACTGGTATAGAAATATAGCTCTTCTCTTCCACCCGTGCACCCTTTGAAACAAGAGACCATTAGCATTTCTTTGCCTGACCTCTCTTTGGCTGAAATTAGGAACTAAATTGAGGAGGTCTTAGTTACTATTAGGATGGAGGACCACCTGGGAATTTTGTTGGTTAGACCAGTGTTTCTGAATTTTAGCCACTATAAGATGTGTAGACCTGTAACTCCTATAATTCTCCCCCATCACGCTGACTGGAGTATGCTGAGAGTTGAAGTCCACACATCTAAAAAAGGCCAAGTTTGAGAAACACTGAGCTAGAGTGAAAAGTCAAGCATTTTGGAAAAAGGCAAACTACTTTCATGAAAACTGATAATGCCATTACCAGGAGTGAAGGTGAACTCAAGGACGTTTTTACCTTTAAGCCATTTCTGCCATTAGCATATATGCCTTCATCACCATAGCATTTTGGGTTTTTTTGCATCTATAAGCTTCAGGGCTTTTCTTTTAATACTTGGTATTGTGAGTTACTTATGATTAACTTCAATTGGAGGTGAGTTCAAATCTGAGAGGCACACATGTGGACTGAACCTTTCACCTCTTATGGCTAAGACTCCCAGGCTTTCAAACCAATAAACAGAAATCCACCAGAAGTACCATGGTTAGAAACCACACACCCCAGCTTATTCAATATTTCAAGCAAAGGATGGGGAATAGTCGCAACTATTTAAAACTTGCCAGAAAGTTCCAACAAAGGCAGCTAAGTGCCAGCAAAGTCCCAGGAAGGCAGCTGAGTGCCAGACAGGCCATCAGTCTGGTTTAGTAAAGCAAGGAAGGGTGTCCTGTGCCCAACAGTTGTGGGCATGTCCTATAGCATCATGTGAAGACCACAGTTGCATTCCTTGACTTCATCATGATCTGCATGTACCAATGAAACTCCTTTGTGCCTTGGGAGAGGCAAAAGGGCCAAGAAGGCACATGGAAACCAGCCTGC